TCTCTCTCTCTCTCTCTCTCTCTCTCTCTCTCTCTCTCTCTCTCTCTCTCTCCAGGATCTTGCCAGGTAGTTTAGGCTGGCCTCAAACTCATGACAATCCTCCTGCTTCAGCCTCCCGAGTGTTGGGATTACAGGCATGCATCACTGTGCCCGGTCTTCTTCAAATTTTCTCACTAACACTTTCAGGATTTAGCCTCCTTGGTTAAATTTCTTTTTCGATATTTTATCTTAGTATCTTTGGTAAGTATTGTAAATGGGCTTATTCTGTTAACTTCTTTCTTGGGAGGGGATCCGTTGTTAGTGTACAGAAATGCTCCTGGTTTTTGCGTGCTAGTTTTGTACCTTAACAGCTTTCCTGTCCTCATGTATTAGTTCTAAGAGGTATTGTAGACGTGGGATCTTCAGGGTTTTCTATATGTAAGATGTGAGTATTAAAGTGGTGGAAATTTTGCCTCTTCTTTTTCTACATGGGTGTTTATTTTGTTCTCTTATCTAATTCTTTCATTTTTGAGTTTGTAAAAAAATTTGAGTCTCCTTTTTTCTCAGTCTAGCTAAGGGATGTCTATTTTGTTATCTTTTTAAAAATCAACTCTCTTACATTGACCTTTCAAATTGTTTCTGTCGTACCTCTTGGTCTTGGTTAGTTTTTCCCTCTGCAGCACTGGGCTCAGTTTGTTCTTTTCTCTTTCCTTGAGACTTATGATCAAATTATTCACCCGCAGCCTTCTTCTTTGGTGTTGTCACCTGTTGGTGGCATCTTTTAGAGCTGCTCTGGTTGCCTCCCATACGTTCTGGCATGTACATTTACATTTTCATTTACCTCAAGATATTTTTTCAAGACATTTTTCTATTTCTCTTATTGACTCACTGGTTGTTCTGAGCATTAAATTTTGTTTCCATGAGCTTGTGCCTTTTTTGAACTTCCTCCTGCCATTTGGGTGGACGATCTGGACAAGGTCACAGGAAGGTGGCCCAGAGGGTGTGTGGGACCACCAGCTGGGATGCACAACCGGTGCTCTGGTCAGGACAATGGCACAGGTGAGCGCTGCTCCGTGCGGCCACAGGGCCCGAGCTGAGCTTCAAGGCTGGGAAGACAACTCCGGGTTGGGGCACATTTAGCCCCGCTCTTTGTCAAAGTAAGCTGGGGGCGGCCAGAGCTTGGGCGTGGGCTTTGTGGTCACACCAGGCACCACTGACCTGCCAGGTGGGCGCAGCGAGCCCTGCGCCAGGCTGAAGTTCTTGGCTATGGTTTCCATTCTGGGGGGAGCCCTGGGTGACGCCCAAGGTGGGCCTGGGAGGCTGGCTGCCTAGTTTTCCTTCCACTCATGGGATTGGCCAGCGCAGCTTTGCAGGTGGTTACGTGGTACCTCCAGTGGTACCCACACAGAGTTCAGAGAGCTGCCGCCAAGGCCATGTGCAGCTCACTGCAGGCCCCCTCTGTCCCTCCCCCGTGTCTCCCTGACCCGGATGCCTTCCTTGGGCCGTCTCCCTGCATTCACTTTGAGGTGAGAAAGGGAAGCGTCTTGGGATTCTGGGGAAGCTGGATTTCTACTTCCAGTTCCGTTTTGTCTTCATGGAAATTGGCTCCGGAGTATCTTTGCTGTGACGAGGGTGGGGCTGGGGGTGTCATAATGTCAGAGTGACATTATTTCTTCTACCCTTTCTGTTTTCATTCCACTCCATGAAGATGACTTGAGTTTATTGTCACCTTGGAGGCTTTTCCCAAAGAGAAATCACTATGGAGATCCCTGGTGGATCTTTCTGTGGGGGTTGTACAGCCTTTGACTTCCTGTCTGCCACCAAGCTGATGTGCCCTGTAACTTTTGCAAATCTTTGAGAACATGGCCCATGCATGCTCTCAAAAGCGTAGCCATAGGAGGCTGGCGAGATAGCTCAGTGGACTAAGTGCCTGCTTAGGCAAGTGGAGGGACAGGGCTCAAACCCTGGTACCACATGTCGCGCTGGCTCTCCCACCAGGCGCACTGAGCTGGCCACCAAGACTAGATGTGGTGTTGCATGCCTGTAATGCCAGTGCTTGGGAGGCTGAGACAGGAGGGTCACTGAGTCTAAGCTGCGTAGTGAGACCCTGTACCAAACATAAAAAAGAAAAAAAGCGCAGCTGCTTATGTGGCCATTAATATTGTCCTAGTTTCATGTTCTTTCCAGCACTGAATATTAAGATTGTTCTAAAATATTGATAACTCACATACCTGGTTTTGTTTTAATTTATATTTCTGGGAATAATCTGGAGGTTGGATGTTTCTCCAGCCCACATTCCAATTATGTCTCCCTGGGTGTGAATTTTCTTCATGTCCTAATTGGCTAATGGTCCAAACTGATGACTTTTTAAGTGAATTTCATTATCCTTATGGTTAATTTTTTTATAATTAGATAATTATTAAAAGGCAGCCTTGTCATAAGGAGCGTGGCAGGTATTGTCTCCATGTGCTATTTCTCTTTCATTAACCCGATACCTCATTATTTTGAAGTTTGTATTTTAATATAATCAAATACATTAATATTGCTTTTTAAAACTGTCTTCTGTTGTTTGAAATCTATTAATTCATCATTGTTACCAAGCTTGATTAAAAACTGTATTCTATTCTGCTTGTTTTTATTCTTCAAAAACACTCTAATCCATTACAATATGAATTGGGTGTCCACATTAAAAAAAAAAAACAAACCTTTTTTTTCAAACAGATAATCTAATTTCCCTTCTAGTCTTTATTAAATAACCCTTTCTTTCTCTGTTACTTTTAATGTTTGCTTTGATGTATCTTAAATTCTTATTCATAATTTGGTTCTGCTTGTGTTTCTTTTTTTATTTTATCAAGCTAGATAT